GAGTACTGAACTGTTATGTAATATCGGTCATGCTACATACCAGTGAATGGTGGACATTCTTCTCACAGAATTAGAGACCTTTGGTTCTACAGAAAGATGTTGAGAATAAAATGGACCGAACATGTGACTAACGATGAAAACGGATACAAAAAGGACACTTATATTTAGCATCTGAAAGAAAGTTACAATTTTTAGGGGACATAATGAGGAAAGAATGCTTAGAAAATTTGCCTCTTACAGTACATATTGGATGTAAGAGGGACAGAGGAAAATAACGCACAACTTACCTTCTGGGGTACACAATGAGGAAAAAGTACTTGGAAAATGTTATACTCACAGGACAGATTCAATCTAAGAGTGCCAGAGACAAACAAGGTATAACCTACCTAATAAGGTTGTGTAAATAATTGGAATAACACGGTTTAGGAGAGATAGCAAAAAGTCAAAATTAACGAACCATAAAGGACAAGAAATTGTGGAGAGCCATGATCGCCAATGTCCAAGGGCCGCGGTACATAAAAAAGTAATATTATAAACTTATATCCTTATTCTTAATATTATTATAGTTAGTGTTAACATTATTTTCATTTGGTTTTATACAAAGCTTATACGATTATTAATATTTAGTAGGCCTTCTGGGAAAATTGTTTATTTTTTTTATTTTATGTCGTACTTTTTACTTTTTTTTTTCCTATTTTGTCAATGACATGACAGAGTGATTGAAGGAGTTAATTTTCCAATTTATCTTGCATCTTATATTTTTAGCAATAGACGTCTTCATTTTTTATTCTTTTATAACACCTATTTTTTTCTTTTCTGTGCCATCATGTTTTCTTATCATAGTTGCCTCCATTTTTTTTTTCATACTTCTTTTACCAGTTCAGTTATTATTTCCCAATTTCTTTGAGTGTATTCTTTTAGATATATAAAAAAGCGAAATCTTTTTTTTGCTTACTATTATCGTTTTTCAATCTCTAGATACGCAAGTCAGCTTGTCAATCCCTCTGTCAATTTGTACTCCCTTCTATTTATCCTTATAATAAAGCCAAGCGTTTACGAACACCATAGCCTCGTTCGAAATCAACGACCAGCATATTCTGAAATCACTTTAAAAAAAAGAAAGAAAAAAGAAAAAAAAGGCTGCATCTCATCAGTCTCACTGTTGGTTACTCTCTCTCTTCCTTTCTTCACTCTTTTCCCCCGTTTATCCGTTCTTCCCATAATTCCCTTCTCGTGGCGACTTTTCTGCGTTTCTCTTTGTCACTACTTTCTCAGAAATTTTCATTTTATCCCTTTCACATAGTTTTTAGCGTTTCTTTTGGCCTGTTAGTGTTTTCATTATTGTCTTTCTTTTTACTTTTTTTCACTATTCTATTATTAACTGGAATATCTTCGTTTGTTTATATTTTTCCTTCTAATTTTAGTATTTAAAAAAAATAATATTTTTTTAATATTCTTGAAGCCATTTCTTCTCTGTCCGTATATATATATATATATATATATATATATATATATATATATATATATATATATATCTTTTTTTTAAATTTTTTTATATTTATATTCTTTTATTTTTAACTCCTTTATATATCATTGCTTGGTTCAACCTTTTTATGCTACTTTTTCTTCTTCTAAATTGACATATTTTTCTCCTATTCTTCGCAACCCTTTAAGATAAACTCTTTTTTTTCCCAATTTTTCAACATCCTATGCTATTTTAGCCCTTTTCTTAAATTTTCTTTAATTCACCTTTCTTTATAGTTTTCTCTTTCGCCTATTGATCTTATTTCTTAACTGTTGTGTCGAAAACCTACCACCCCTCTTGAAGATGAACTTGTCTGCGTCTGTGAACAAAGACTTTAAATAGTGGCATGTCAGTTGACATGAAGATAGATAGACAGAGAAGTTCTTAGCTGAGCTAGTTATTGACTACTCAGGCGATTTCTGTACCTTTTTACCAACCTATTAAAACCCCTTTTATTGTTACGTGTTATTTGGCGTTTGTCTCTACTAACCCCAAACCAACATCATAACATTAACATAACCTCCCTCTAATATATCAGCTTATTTTCATCTCGATTTTATTAGATATATTTTTATTTTCTTTCTTCTCATTCTATTTTATCTATTTTCCCTTTTCTCTCTTTATCTAAACATGAATTTCCGGCGTTCTGAAAATTACATTTTCAAATTCTTGTCCACGTTTTTCCTCATTTTTTTAAAGTCTTTTCCCTAAAGTTCTATTCTCGGTTTTATTTTACCTCTATTAAAATATGTCTGAAAGCATTCTTCTCATCGTCCAGTCTTTATCCTACACCCTTCCTATTTACAGAAATGCCATTCTCACAGTATTCCTTTACGGACATTAGAGGTTATATCCCCTTACTTTTTATCGTTATTTCTATCTTTTGTATTTCTTATAAAGAGATGGAGATCGGTAGTCTTTACCGAGGCCAGCGCAAACGACAGTTGCTGGGGCTGGGCAATTTTTGTCCTTGGCCCGAGTCTATGTGCTCGGGTGTCTCACATTAAACCCAACTTTGTGTCACATCTCTTCTCAGTGGCGAGAATGGGGTAAATATCACCTTCTGTATCTGTCTATACATTCAGAAATGACATACACAGATGTCCTCAAGGACACATGGCACAGTGGATAAAGGCGTTAGTTAGATCCAGTGTCAGGACCTAAAGAGAACTTGGAGAGGGGAATTAACAGGAGATAACTGACAACTGACATCCATTAAACATGGCACGTGGAACTAGAACAGTCTACCCCAGTGAGCGAAATAAAGGGTTCCGTTCGACATTCCAACCACCTGAAGAAGGCTGGAGTGTACAACGGCCGAAACGTTGTAATAAATATGGCGACAAAGATGAGGACAATAGTCTGAATAATGTAAATAGTGTATTACCTTCTGTATTTCTATGTTTCCAGTAATGGAATTGAAACGAAAGCAGTGATGTCACGTACCCTGAATCCACCATAAAAATTCAGAATGTTAAATTAGTAAAAGCAAAACACTTCAAATACCTCGGTGTAGCGTTCATTTATAACCAATTTAGTATAGGAGATAAGGAATTTGGATACGACATACGCTGCGCCAAGTTTAGTTTCGCCCAACACCGTATGTTGCTACAAAATATTAAACTCAAACTTGAGATGCTCATGTGTAGCCTCGTCAAATCAAGACTTTCATATGAGTGTCATACATGGTTCCAAACTCGTTCAGAAATATCTAAAACGCCAACTGTATGTAAGCGCTTTCTCAGCTCAATGATTAAAAATGGCATCGATCAAATGAAGCCAGTATGTTTTATCGAGGGCCATTATTCTTCGAGCCTTGTGAACCAATGCCACAGAACCATAAAGAAGTGTACTATATAACACAAATCGCACCACTTGAGGAATTTTAACAACAGCAACAACTAAAATGGATAGCACAAGTAACTAAAAAAATAGGAGATAATGCTATAATTAATATGCTGACGTTCCACCTTAGAAATGCTGACGTTCCACGCAAGAAATTTTTGGAGTCATCTTGCTAAATTCCTTTATCACTACACAAAAAAAAAAAACTTCACATGTTATTCTCAGCAGTCGTTTGCTTCAGGTCTCCTCCTCATCTATGGGGAAATTGCATTCACTGCAATATAAGAAGATAGATATTACATAGCAGATCAACTCACTTTTGCTCAGATATATAATTGATTGATTGTCTCAGGCTAGAAATATTTTTAGATTGTAAGAATTTATCATTAAACCATTATTGCCCTTTTAGGGCAATAATGATACAAGTTTTACTAATTAACCCATAACTGTGGGGAGAAGACGTGGATTCATAATTTCTTCATGGGTATTTACGCTTAAGGGTATATACCAACAGGAATTGGAACTTGGCTATCCGATTAACAATTCAGACCCAATATGTGTTACACCACCTTAACATTCTCTCTTACAGCACCAAGTATTCCCAAGCGGTCACCCATATAGATTATAAGCAGGCTCGATGTTGCTTAATTGTACGTGAACTGGGGTGTTTCAAAGTAATGTGGCCGTACACGCTTTAATATTTAAATACTGATAAAGAAAACAATATTTCAGAAAGAATTAAGCAGAAATGTCAATGTTAATATTAGCTGTTTCCTTATGCGGAAACATTCGGCATTCATTGACTGAAAAGCCAGTGCCAATTTAGACTGAAATTTATAAAATCTTTCTATTAAAACAATTTTTAAGGAAAAATTCCAGTAGATTTTATCGCTCTTTCCACTACTGATGGGGGTTTCCTTCCTCAAATTTTCTTTAATCATTGAGCTGGGAAAGCGCTTGCATACAATTGGTGTTTTAGATATTTCTGAACGAGTTTCTAAAAACTAAACAAAGTTTTAAGAAATCGGAAAACACTATTAGAAACAAAGAAAAGAATGCTGAACTGCTACGTAACACTAATCCTTATTTATGGCAGTGAATAATGAACAATTTGTTCACTGATGAAAAGACAACAGCGATGTGGATCTGCAGTTGGATGATGATAATACTATGGAATGAAAGACTGACTATCGGGGTATCTTTAAGGAAAAAGGGAACAAAAAAGAGTTATAGGTTGAATCAGAAAGGGACACATGAAATTTCTGGGGCATACTATGAGGAAAGAGGAATCGAAGAATTTGCCGTTCACAAAACATACAAAAGGCTAGACGTCGATGAGAAATATCGAGTTAACTACCTGACGATTGATTCGTTTTCTACGGCTTGTCAACCCTTCACACGTTATTTAAAGCCAGAATATATATTTTATATTTAAGAATTTTTTTTGTTTGTTTAGGGATATAAATCTTATTAATTAACACATAGTTGAGGGGTAAAAGAGGTGGAGTCTTTTCCTTTCTTGGGAGTATTTGAGCGTAAGTGCATATAATGAACCCAACGGAAATTGAAACTCGGATCACTGATTAACAATTCTGAGCTATTAAGAATTACACCACCCGCATATCCAAACTTCCAGCACCTGATATTCCCAACCAGTCACCCATCGAGGTACTGACCAGACTCGACGTTGCTTAACTTCGGTGATCGTACGGGCATGAGTGGAAAGGGGACAGACGTAGCATGCTAGCCTTTATCCTACCCTCGTTTCAATTACTTGTATTTTTCCTTTGCATATATACCTTCTTCAAACTGTTTTTTTTTGTTTGTGTATGCTTCCATATATTTTTTTTTCTTTGAACTACAAACGTCGCCTTCTCTTCTCACGTTCATTTCTTCTTTCTTCCTGTTGTTCTCATACATCTTTATTGGCGGTTAGTTTAAGCTCTTTCTCTACACTAGCGACACCTGATCTTTCCAACCTTCTTTCATCGTTTTCTCTCTTTATACGTTTAGAATTGAATTTTTTCCCCTCTTTTTATCCCCCGTTATTTCTCATTATTTTCTCGTACCATTATCATCATCAGCGGGATGCTCATCTGTTATATCAGAAACTCTCGGCTGTTTAGCTTTCGGACTTCTTCAGGATCGTTCCGTATCGCCGCCTCTTCATAGAGTGTATCAACAAAGAATGGTTTTACTTTTCATATTATCTTCATTATACGAGAGAGACAGACGTGGTAGCATCTCTTCTAGGATGTCGCTGGAGTAGGGTGGAATTATTCCAATGAGTTATTCTTTAGTTCCTATATCTATTGCTTATTACTTCTTGTGGAATGACAATCTGGAAGTTAGGATGAAAAAAAGATCCTTGAAAGCAATGCAAGCTGGAATTATTTCAGTTATTTATTTAAAGTCTCTTTATACTGCTTCCGGAATCTCACGGAATAACGACCTTAGATTTTCCAACAGAAAATTCAAAAAAAAAAATCTAAAATTCTGTTCTATATGTAATTAAGTAAAGTCATCATTGACTCTCATAGGCGTGTAAGCCTGCGGTAAAATAACAGTATGTATCCTCTTTTTCGCCTTATTGTTTACGTTTTCTGCAACGTTACATATTTCTTTTTATATGATGTATCCATTCATGACGTAGGCGATCATGGCTCTCCACAACTTCTAGTCCATTGCAGTTCATAATAAATTTTGTCTTTCTGCTATTTTTCCTAAAACCTGTTCCGCCATTTTTTTACTAAAGATGTCATGCGCTGTTTACCTCTGTGTCTCTTGCCTTCAATGTGTCCTGTGATTATCAAATTTCCCAACCCCTTTTCTTCATTATGCACCCTAGAAACCTCAACTGTCTCTTCTTGGTGTTAAGTATGTTTATTTTTTGTTTCAAGTTTCTATAAAACTTCCTTGTTGCTCACATGTTCGGTCTATGGTATCGTCAGCATCCTTGTCTAGAAATTGATTTCTGTTGCTTCAAGTCTCTTCTTCATCTTAAAGGAGATTGTCTGCCATATTGGAGGCCAGATATCACGTAACGGTTTCGTACTCTTTTCCTGGTTTCTAGCGAAGTTTTTCAATTTTATTTGCTACACTGCTTAGCTTTTCGGATGCTTCTTTGGTTATATTATTATAGACTCCGCACAAAGCTCCTGCAATGTTATAATGTTACAAATTCAAACGTACAACACATTCACCCTGGTCCTTCAACACTTTCAACACCGAAGCTGATCAATGAAGATCCCACGTTGTGATTTAAGTTTGATCATAGGGGATGGCAAAGAACGAATCGTCGTAGATATCTTCGTGCCGAGCTGGTCCAAGCAGGGCGAAGACGTACAGGAAAAAATAACACCAGAATAAATTGAGCAAAAATTAAATACTGTTTTTATATCAGTCCTTCGAACAATAAGTGATTTATATAAGAGTTCAGATGCAACTCAACCCGAATCTAAGTCGGAAGTGATATTATCGTTGATGACCTGGCAAAGCGTGGTTTGCTGTTCTGGTAAAGTTTGGCACAAGGCTGAAGTCGGGGGTAGGCACTTACGTGGGGTGTATCACAACTGGTGGGTGGGACGAACTCTGCCGTCACTGTCATGTCACTGTCCTGTCACTGTTCTGTCTCCATCTGACGAATTAGCTTCGCGCATTCGAATTTATTGACATTCGGGTCATTTTCCATTGTTCAAACCCTCGTCACATCAATTTGTCTATATATGAAAAAAAATGTCTTTATTTGCCTGTCGTTCTCATCCTGTTCATCGTGTAATTACATTTTCGGATCTTTTCTGTTACTTATCTATCTATCTATCTATCTATCTATCTATCTATCTATCTATCTATCTATCTAAATTTCTCCTGTTGTCTGTCTGTATGTCTGTCGTGGGCGTTGTTACCTCGCCCAGGCCGCATTTCTCACCCGATTTCGATGCGGTTTTCAACACTAGTTTGCAAATGGCTGCCGTAAGGACATGAGGGAGCCCGATTTTTGAGTTCGGAATCAGGTTCCGAAAAAATCGATAATCGAAAAAATCGATAATCGAAAAAATTCTGCTTACAGAAGGAATGATCGCATTTCAACCAAATTTGACACCCTCTTAGAGTCTACCATTAGAAGTGTTGTCCAGAGGTTTCATGACCACGGACCCCTAAACAGCGCGAAAAATCGATAAAACCCCAAAACCGATGCGCCCAGATTGCGTCTGAACCGCATGTCGGTTTTTAGCGGATTTATGAAGAGGCCGTTGGGAGTCATCATGTGAAGTTTCAACTCTGAGCACCCCCCAAACAGAGTGAAAATCGGTCATCCCTTAAAAATGTTTTTTTCCGGTTTTTTAAAGCTGATCGTATTGTGTTTATTTTGTTTAGTTCTTTTTTCGTAACAGATTTAATGTTTACTGTAGAGCTTAGAAAAAGTTGGCAGTGTGAGATAGGCAAGAAGTAAGACATGTAACAACATCAGCACGGCAAAGGGCACTCCTCTAAAAAAAAAAAAAAAAAGGCAGGAAGGGCAAAATATTTTAAAGTGATAGCGATTGCTGTATTAGTCATACTATTTTTGCATCAAGCACGGGCAACGCCGGACCATGCTGCTAGTCACAAATATAATTCACCCAAAGGTCAACCCAATCAGAGTGCAATGGAAAGGGCCCCACTCTGGGAGAATTTCGTGTGAATTTTAGCAAATATAAATTCTTTTTAATTAATATTTTGGGTTGAATTGGCAGAAAATATCCACATTTTCTTAAGATTTTATTTTCGTTTCATTTATGTGGTGTGTGTAAAAGTTTCCAGCCCACATTTTATTTGAAACCTACAGTCTGAACATCCAGAAAAGAAAAACTGGAAAATTCTTCAGAGACTTAATACAATTCTTTAGCCGGTCCCTTTGAATAATTCAAGCTTTCTCTCCTTAGATTCTCCTTTTAGGCAATGACTGCAATAAAAACAGACATATAAAGACAATTCATAACAGAAAATATATATTATGGTAAATTAGTTATACCGAAATATAGTGATTAAAAAGAGCTGAGTGGTTATATGTGCAGAGTGGTGTAAGCGATATCGACACGGGTTGAGGAAGCGGAGATCCGGGTTCGAATTCCAGTTGAGTTTGTTATATTTATTTACGCACAAATACCTTTGGTTAAGGTATGAGTCTATCATCTATATAATGCTCAAAGTCTGTTCTTTGTGTGTTACGTCCATGCGACGCATCATAATGATTTAAGTGAATAAGATTTTAAAATATGAGTTGTTTATACAGTAAATGTTTTTATTTTAAATTTCTTCAAACAGACAACATTTTAATTAAAATATTTTAAAGACAGACACAAGGAAATCCCGCTTTGCTGTTTTGTCCAGTTGTTTGTGGAGTAATTATTTATATTTCAGCTTTCTTTAAGCAAACAACATTTTCAATACCTACGTTTATCAGATTTAAAATTATTATAAATGAATAAGATTTTAAAATAGCAGTTTTTTATAGAGTAATATATTTATTTTAACTTTCCTCAGACAATTTTTTAATTAAAATATTTTTTTAAGTTAAAGACAGACGCAAAGAGACCCCGCTTTCCCGTTTCTTCTATTTGTTTGTAGATTAATTATCTATGTTTCAGCTTTCTTTAAACAAACAATATTTTAAATATGTAAAAAATATTTTTGAGATATTTAAAAAATATTTTAAAGTGAATATGTATTAAAGATATTTTTTTGGCATATTAAAATAATATTTTTAAGTTAATCTGGTTTAAAGTTCAAGTTTATCCCGGAAGCTCCATTCCCATTAAATGCTGTAAACAATCAGTAAAACGTTAAGCATGAACTTGCAAACCAGACCAATGATGAAACGAACTAATTGAAATATTTAACTGGTTCTTAGACTTCATGAATTTAAGCGTTCAACTAGGCTGGCATCTCGATCTCACCCTTTCACTGTTGAAAGTGTTAAATGTAGCCGTCTCTTCTACTCCAATAGCTTCATATCTCGCACTTCTCGCCTGAGGAACTCCCTTCCCTTTTCTTGTTTCCCTGATAGCTATAATCTCCAACTATTCAAATGTAATGTCAATCGACATCTTCACCTTGATCTATCCACTATCCTTCTCTTCATCCTTTCCTCTATCACTCCTCTTTGCTCCAACTCTCTGTAACCCCTTGGGTGCTAGTGGCTTCCCGCTTTGCTTGGTGTGGAATGCTTAAAAAATCATAAGAAAATTGACTTTCATTTCAATGAAATATTGAAATCAGCTTCAGTGTTTTATAACTTGAACCGCCAGTGACCCAATAACTTTAGTGAATACAAAAGATAAAACATTGTTGGAAATCGTAGGTTCCATGGAAATAATGAAGAGGTTCGTTGAAGAACATGGACAAACTCGATACAGGTTTTATCAGGGTAAATTTAAGATATTATCTTGCGAATCTGTGCTCTTTATCCAGAGAGAATTCTCACAAAAAAAAAACAGTTCAAAAGCATTTACCCGGCATCATATGTAATGACTCATGTTCCACCCTACAAAAGCTTTCCCATAGATTTTCCTCATTACTCTATTCCTATATGTTATGGCAAATATTCAGATGAGCTACATTCCTTAGTTGTACCAGTTCAGACCTTCACAGCGAGTAACCATTATGTTACGTACACCGCTCGACCGATCCTCATCACCTTTGTATTCTATTGGTAAGGAGGGGGTACCGCACAGATTCT